GACTAAGTGACTCTTTTTATCAAAACGGATTGTAAATTGGATTCAAAAGGGCATAACTGAAAAACGATTAGGTCTAGAACGTTGAAATTTTGTATATGGGATTACTGTGACATTTAAATCTTTACCTCCTTCTTCTTATTGCAGTCGGCAGTACCAAACGTATATAATATATATATAATTAAATTAAAAATAATTATAACTAAACAGGAAAAAGAATATGAGCGAAAAAATATAATGATATTGAAAGGTAAAAGTGAAAAAAAAATCATTTTGCTTTTGTAAATTTATGGAAATTAAAAAATTATAAAAATCAACACGGTAATGCCTGTGAACAAACGGGCAAAAAATCTTTTAATAAAGAAAAAGTAAATTTAAAATAAAAATACGCATGGAAAAAGCTGTATTATCACTTTTTGACTTTTACCTTGTCAAGAGGATGTCAGAGTATAATATATAGAGAGAGATAGATAGGTGTTGCACTTATATAGCCCCTTACCCGACTTAAAATTCCTTACCTGCCCTTTATTCTCGCAATCGTTGATAGTGATCATGTACTTCCAGATATAGAAGTCTGTTGAAAGAGGAAAATATTTATGTTTGGGCAATGTGAAATTTAAAAAAAAAAAAATTCGGCAAATAATTAACTATAACTACGTATAGAGTTACTCTACGTATAGAGTACGAGTTTATATATATAGAGTTAATCTAAAAATAAATATATAACAACATTTAATATAATTTTATTGTTGTAAATATCTAGCAATATTTAATATCAGTTTATTGTTATTTTAAAAAGAATATTTAATAGGCCGTACAAGGTAGTCATGAAATGTTCACGTCAGATTTTTTTAATTCGGTATTAATATTTTTTATAGGTCAAACTATCGAAATGCGACATGAATTGAAATAACTGAGTTGAAAAAACGTCAGTTAAAGATACATGTGTAACGTTTTCAGAAACAGAGCCCTCCTTCTTTTGTCTGTTTCTTAATTTTCTCTAACGCTTAATGAAGTAATGAGAAACCAGGTTTTTCAAGAATTATTTACTCTGATTAAAGTATTCAGAGCTACATCCTTATATTTCTGTGTTCAAAAAGTTCGCAGAAACGTCAGTCATATCACGTAAGTGAAACTTCATTGCGATAGAATATCTCTTGACCAGCAGCAGAATGACCTCCCCGATTCCGGATAAGAGATTTTTCCGGGTAATTGAATATATATTTCTAGAATTTCCGTCTTCATATTTCGTGATGCCATTTGTAGAAACTGCAGCAAGCGAAGTCTGTTGATCACATTCTTCGAATAAGAAGTTTCTCTATCAAGGTTTGCCTGGCATGTATTATTTGATTTTTAATTCTTGTTGTATTTACATATTTTCTTTTCAAATTGCATACCAAAATTTTAAAATTTATTTTAAATAGGCATATACTATATTCTGAGCATAGTTTTCTCTTCCCGTAGTTTGAGGAAGCTAAACATTATCACTGACTAATTTAGATTATTTAGTTCTTCTATGGCTATCATTCAGTTTTCATTTTGTTTGGTGAAATACATAGTTCAAGGAAGTAATTTTAATTGCTCTATTAAATTGTTTATGTGACCCTCTATCCGCTTGCAAATAGCATTTTAAAGACAAAAACCTAAGTTGAAAATAAAGTACATTGATTATCTGCATGAAAACTAAATTTTGTTTAGTTTGAACTTTTATGGGAATTTGAATGCTTTATTTATTTTTCCTTCTTCTGTGTACATTCCTTTTTATTTTTCAGTAAAAAATCGTTTAACTAGGTAAGCAGTTACTTAAATTCAGATCAATTTAATCGCAATAATCTAAAAAGTTGCAGAATAACTTACTTAAATTCAGATCAATTTAATCGCAATAATCTAAAAAGTTGCATAATAACTTTTTAAAATAAAGTCGAGAAATCCTAAACGTTATTAAAATTCTCATCTTTTTATTTTCGAAGCTATCAAAAAAAGAAGGCAGAAGAGAGCGGCAAAGTTGTAGCAGATTTAGTGTTAACCAAACTATCAAGCCACAAGGAGGCTTGATAGTTTGGTTCAAGGAGGCTTGATAGTTAAATCAAGCCACAAGGAGGCTTGCTACGTTACACCACAAAAACTTGAGAACTTGGAAATAAATGGCAGCATGTTTGTTTTTATGGATTAAGAATTTTTTTTTTTGGGGGGGGGGTTGGTCACAGCGTGTTTTTTTTCTTTTTTTTTTTTTTTTTTCTGTTAGATATAGCCGTGAAATTTCTAGATTTAAAGAGATTGAAACTGACCTCACGTAGGGAACAGTCATTAGCCCAATTCTTTTTAACTGTTCTTATTAATGATTTACCGAACACTTTGGCACCGTTAGTGAACTCTGCCCTTTTTGCTGACGATCTGGTTGTCTGGAGTGGTGCTTCTGAAAAAAAAAAGAAGTATGAGAACTTTTAATAGTGCTCTGATAGAGCTGGAATATTGTTGCCTAAAAATGGTATGAGAGTAAATCAGGATAAGAGCATTTACCAGTTCTTCACTCTGAACAGACAGTCTTTTACTCCGAATTTGACATATAAGGGTGTAGATCTTCAAAGTAATGATTCTATTAAATATTTGGGTTGTATTCTGGATCCACACTTAAATTGGAGTAAACATGCGGAACATTTAAAAAATAAAGCCTTGAGAAAATTCTCTATTAATTACTATAGAGAGATCCTCATCACGCCTCCGGAAAATGTGGCCCAGATCCTCGAAGTCTTTCAAAACCAAGCGTTACGCATAATTACTGGGGCAGTGAGATCTGCTCCTATTCTTGCAATCCAGCTTTTAACCAGTTTGGAGCCTGTTCATGCAATTTTAAAGCGATTTTATTATAATAAAAGCTTGTGCGTTTGCCTGATAACTATTTTCGGAGGAACTATAATACTGAACTTTCTAGAAATTTTAAAACTGAAATTGGCTTTATCCAGGCTGCTCAGAGAGAATCTGATGCTTCGGAATTGAGCCGAAGTTGTCTAATTTTACTCTCTTGCCCTTGGCCTTTGGACATTTTGAATTTGAATATAAATCTTGATCTTATACGAAGAGTTGTTAAAAACTAAGTGAGCGATTCACAATTAAGAACTATTGCAATGGAGACTTATTAAACAGGTTATGATTCGTTGTGCTGTGGAAAAGAGAAGGTGGATTCTGGGGAAAGAGCGAACCATTCTCACTTTTCAGAGAAAGACAGTGGTATCTCTATATAGACGTTTGACTGGAAATAACTTTGCTATACCACTTCTACAGAATTGGAGTGGTTGCATTCCCCGAACTATGTTTTGTGTGACTCCAATCAGCCTCTGATTTTTTAACATTAAAATAATTATATTGCACTTTCTCGGTATGAGGACATTATTAAAAAGTGCAGGAGGACCAGTGAACCAGTGGCTTAGGCGCTAATGTTTACCATTTGTAAAATAAATAAAACTTTTTTATTATCATAATTCACTTATAGACATTGCTAGGAGATTCACCTTGAACAAAAGTTTGGTATCATAATGAATTCAATTACTTGTTTCTTGTTTTCTTAAAATGAGAGGTAAAAACCTCAATGTCTGTAGTTTATTAAAAATGAAGAAAATACTTCGATATCAATCCAAATTACATCCCATCGGATAATATTTTATGCTTAATTTTTACCACAAGTTTTTACGGCAGTTCCTCTTTAGTTAAACTTTAAAACTCTGTCAGCTTCGAAAGTTGTCAGACTCTATTCCTGTTCTTCAAAAGGAAAAAAAATCCACTTCCTCAAGCTAGGCCAAGTTAAAGTCTTTTTTCCGGGGGGGGGCTTGTCTAAAATTCATATTGGCGTATTTCTCTTCCGTTATAGCCGTGTTCTATTTCATTTACAGTACTTTTTTTCCTGGAGGGGGGACTTCGAATATTTTATTATTATTTTATTTACCTTATTCAATATTTTTTAATTAAATTCTGTTAAATTTTTGGCGTTCTTGATTGGGAATTTTTTTTTTATTTAAAAGTTTTATGATACCAGTAAAATCGTTCGGAATCCCGAATAAAAACCGTATCTGTAATTAGTAAATCGACCATTTTGAATATGTCAGCAATTACAAATTCTAGACGAATTTATACCTGGCATTTGTTCCCTACCCGGTATACTTTATGGTTCAGTTGTAGTAACAAATCCACCAAGTGTAATTCTACCGACTGTTCTAAATGCCGAAATTTTATCACCATTTTATTTATTTTTTTTTTCAATCATTATGCTGAATTCCAACTGGCAGAATTGCATTTATCCGTTAAAATTAAATTCCAGTCATTTCTAAAAGACGAGGTCAACAAAATATGACTTTTTTCTAGAGATCTTCTTTGAACAAGAAAATATATTACAGAGCATTTTCATTGTATTTACAATAACATTTCTGATTCATATCGTTAATGAAACATCTAAAGCACCACTAGTTGTAGTTCGTATTAAGTCCGGAATTAACTTAGTATGAGCAAGCTACGGCTAGCACATAAACATTTTGCGAAATTAGCCACTTAAGCTTTATAAGAATAATTAAATTATCATATTAAATTTCAATACACCTATATATAATTTTAACTGATATTTAAATTTTGAAATCGTCCGAAGAAAATATTGTTATGATTGATAAACTGACCCAAAACTTGTCATATAAATAATATAAAAAATGAGGTTTTATAAGATAAAATGTCAGCCTACTTCTGTTGATTGGATTCATTGACTCTCCAATTTATGTAAATTTAATAGTTTTGTTACAAGCTTTTCATCTTGATCTAAGAAAACAGACAACAGTCTGAAAACACACACATCCTTAAGACCTCCAAGTACCTTTCTGTGAAACACTTCTTTAGTTATATAATCTGTAAGTCAGCTTATATTTATTGCAATGTGTCCCAAATATATTTTGAGTTTTGTTATTATTAGAATTTTATTACACATATTTCTGCACATTAAATTAATTGCGTCATTTACTTTGCAGATATTTTCATAACATTATCTAGTACTTTCATAAGGAATTTCTAACAATGGATACTGAAAAGAAACCGTGGTATAATATCAAGAAGGATTTATTGCCAGTGAAGGCTCATTATTTTTTCTTCTATGGCGGTACGTATGTATCTTTTTTATTTTCATGAAATTAAACTTTCAAATTATTTTTGGTTAATGTAAAGAAAAAAATTTTAAAAAATGAACATTTTTTTTTTTTAAAATTTGAAAGGTTTCAGATTTTAAATTACGTACAAAATGGCGTTTTTTTAACGTTTTTTGTGTTACCTTTATTTATTAAATATCATGTTCCTTGCGCTGAAACCGTAAAATTCAGTTCAATAGCAATGTCACAAAATAATTTTAAAATGAGCAAGCATATCTTTAGAATTTCCGATACACAGTTCCGCACGCTGGAGATAAAAAGGCCTTTTATCCCCGTAGAATGTTGCTATCGCTTGCTTTTAAATCGTTGAGTTTGTTACTCAAAAATTCGTTAAAGGTTTAGAAAATATGAAATCGATAATAAAACAAATTCCAAATTTCAAATTTGGTCTTCCACATGCACATGCCCATATTCGCAGTAGGATTACGTCGTTCAATCTTCGATGGCTCTATGTACCGTTGTTTTATCACAATGCGAGAAATATACATACATTTAATGCATATTTTTCATTATTTAATTTCTTCAAATATAATGCAGGAGTGTAACATTTGACGGCAAGTGAAACGGTCATTTATAGTGATTCAACGCAAAATCGCAAAAAGAAAACAATAGTTCTTCAGAGAAAAAGCCCCTTTGGACTAATAATCTCTCACAGAATTAGAATATAATTGTCGATAAAATACTTCATACTATAAATAATAATGTTGTACGCCACTATCGTATTTTGTTTGTATGATTGATTATAGCAGGTAATCATACGCTAACTTTAAATACAATAAAATTTACCGAATTTCATTTTCATGAATAATTATAACTAATAACCATACACTTACTTCAAATACAGCAAAATTTATCGAAATTTATTTTCATGAATAATTTTGCCAGGTAACCATATGCTAACTTCAAATACACTACAATAATGAGAGCCACGAGCCACTTGTAAGGGTCACTAATAATTGGATTATATCATAAATGTTGAAAGAGCAAATTCTTATTTCATTTGTTAATTATTTGAAAATTTAGTTAACACTTGAGAATAAAGATCTTGGAATACTTTCAAGCAAAACTATGCAAGCACATTAAAATTATTAAGAAACTATTAAAACTAATTATTCGAAGACCTAAAAACTGGCCAAAAAAACTGCATAGTAGTAGCAAATATTATCTATTTTTCAATTTGGGGGGGGGGGGTAAATAAAATGTCTTGAATACACATAGGCTGTCGCAAATGCTTAATTAATAATACTCTAATTATTTCAAGCCGCTATTATGTTGAATTTAAAACTTCCATTGTTAATAAGCATTATTAATTTAAAACATTAATAATTAATATACAGCCTTAATAATCAATATTCACAGTTTTGTCTTAATAATTAATACAGCCTTAATAATTAATATTCACAGAACTCAAATTTAATGTACACGGCAGTGAAAACTCTGAAATGAAAGGTACAGTTTATTACGCTATATTATGATTGTGAAAGTTTACTTTTAGCTTGCAGTTAAGTGATGTAGTATGAAAACTCAACAAGATATTGAGCATTAACATCATTCCTTATATCATTTCAGGCAAGCATGGTGTAATAACTTGTAAGAATTTATTGGTATAATAGTATATATACTGTATTGTAATGAGTGCCCTAGGTTAGACATATAGCAAGCAGTATATTTCTTAATGTACGTACGACGTCTAAATTTCATTCATGTACTTTGTACTATCAGCGCAATAACGTATTAGTTTCATATTTATATTCGCATATTGTTTTTTATGGTTATAATATTTCTTATATTAATATGAAATTAGTACATCATTAAAATAATTCAAAGATTTAAAATATATGAATGAATTTTAATATATTTTCTTAAAATGTTTCCCTAAGCTAACTTGTTACTTATATTAACTTTTGTTGCAGTAAAAGATGAGATTCGAGGTGTTTAATTTAATCATAATTAGAATTTATTTTGAAATGAGAAATAAAATTTCGGATAAAAATATGTAATGCAGTGTAAGATACGAAAGATAGTATATGTAAAATATTAGAAATAAGTCACAGCTAGAAGATAAAATTGCGCAATCTCGCTTTGCACCCCCAGTCATTCCACAAATGATTGCTTCCACTATTCTTAGCTACACTGGTTGGACTGGTTTAATTCATTAATTTTTAATGGTCTTTACCCTTTCTCTGTATCTTTCTTTATTTTCCCCTGTAGAGTTTTGTTCTTTTTCTCAGGATGCATATTCATTATTTTGGGAAAAGATAAAATATTTAGATTAGATAGATAGACAGAATGGTAGATAGGAGATAGAACGATAGATAGACAGATAGATAAATATAGATATATATAAGATATAAAATGTTAAAGAAAACTATTAATTTTAATTTGGAAATAGTCCTTTTTAATCTTCATTTTAATTTGGCTACTTTCCTTCTTACATAAAATAATTCTTACGTAAAATATTACAATATTGGCAAATTTCACGTTGAATCTACGTTCAGGGAAAACTCCGCTCAAACGGTATAGATACCTGTCGAACCTTTTTCTAACTACAAAAACAATAAATTTTAAAAAAAAATTCCGCTAGAAATATAGTTCCATTATTTGTAGGAATATAGTTTCATTATTTTTAAAAGGAAGCAATGAAATACGCATTGTTCACGTAAAATTCGTATGTTACGAAAAACATTTTCAACATTTTTTATTTCCAGCGTTGCACATCAATGGGCATCTTCTTGTTTATTTCTGCGAATGTGAAATAAAGACGTGAAGAAACACTGACGATAGGTTTACCCCATGACAGGAGAATTTTCTCCTTCGACAGTAAATTCCCTCTTTCCGGAGAAGAGTATGTCCCTCACCCTGCGGAAAGTAATTAATACCCCTTCTGGTTGATCTTAAGTGTTTTGGCATAATGCCTGACAAGGTTGCATTTGACGCGGTTGAAATATAGTTTTCAACATTAAAATCATAACTTTCTGAAAGATTTCAACAAAAACCATAGCTTTCAACAAAACATAAACTGCTTCCCGAAGCGCAGTATTTTATTTTGATTATGTAAATTTAACTAATGTACATTTTTTCATATACTAGTTTTAGTATAAGATCTAGGAAAGGTGCAAGTTCTAAAATTGTATTTATTTATTTATTTATTTATTGTATTATAAGCTGCAGATGTATCGATATTCTATGTTTCTTCTAGTGCAATATACATTACAATAAATTCTACTTCAGTTTGTCATTCGATTGCAAAATATTCTTTTTCCCCCTTCATATCATAAAATTTATCTAGTTTAAGAATTATTACTTTGATCATGTAAATACGTATCGTATGAATTATATTTAAAAATATAAGCTACAAATTTATAGCTTTACACAGTGTGAACAATCATTTAAAAATATTTCCTGTGCATGTGAGAAAATCATAGATATCTAGAAGTAGGTTCTTGTAGCTTCTAGGTATCTGTGGTGAAACATGCGTTAAATTAAAAAAGGTTTCTGAATTTTACATTAGACCAAATTCTTAAATGATTTAGAATCCTGGTATCTTGATCAGATGTCTTTAAAAATTAATAGTTACTGCTGTTATTAAATATAATTATTTTTTCCAGGAATGGGTGGTACTGTTCCATTCATGCAAGTGGTGGCAAAGTCTCTAGGCATCAGTGCGACAGCCGTTGGAGTCATTTATACAGTATTACCATTCTGTGTCTTTTTTTCGAAACCGCTGTTTGGATATCTTGCTGATCATTTTCAGAATTTAAAATTTATTATGCTTGTTCTCATCGCCATAACAACTGGAGCTTTCATGAGTGTCCTAGGTATTCCAGTAATAAATAATATTCCAGATGATTGGCAAAATGTTCAAGTCAATTGCACAAATAATGTAGATAAACTAAATATTGTTACAGGGGATTACAAAGCTTCCTGTCTGAAGGAATTGAAAACTAATATAACATGTGAACTTAGATATTATGCTTGTGATACAAACAAATCTAACATCGAAATACTCAGCGGTGTGCTAGATTTCAGCCAACCGATAACATACATAAATGAAACTTCGACTCGGATCACGTTTTGGCTAAACAATAGCTCAGATGTCTCTTGTGAGTGTATTATGAACAATAATGTTTCCATGAAAAGCTCATCAGAAATGCGCTCTTGTTTACTGAATGAAAGTGCTAAATTTTCTGTATACAGAACTTATCAGTTTTGGGTTTTTATGCTGTTAGCAGTTATAGCTGGTACTGGTTGCGCTACTATATTTTGCTTGAGTGATGCAGCCTGCTGTGAAGTTTTAGGTGAAGACAACAGTCTCTTCGGACGGCAAAGATTATGGGCTACTATCAGTTGGGGTTTTGTCACGCTTCTTTCTGGGTATTTGAATGATATAGCAACTGCTCTAGCAAATCATTCAGATTATTCTCCTGGTTTTTATGTAATGCTTGTTTTTGTCATTATCGACGTAATTATATTAATGAAAATTCGTCTAACTAAAGCTAGCTTCTCAATGAACATATGCAAAGATATCAGTGAAATCTTTTCATCTTGTAAAACGATTGTTTTTGCCACTGGTGTGTTCATTGTCGGTGCCTTAACTGGACTCATCTGGAATTATGAATTATGGTACCTGCAAGATTTGGGAGCCCATCAAATTCTTCTAGGCTTATCAGTTGCAGTTCAGTGCTTAGCTGCTGAAGTTCCTTTCTTTTTTTTTGCTGGCTGGTTCATAAAGAAGCTCGGCCATTTTTATTGCCTATCTATTTCTTTTCTAGCTTTTGCCATTAGATTAGGTTTATACAGTATTCTAAAAAACCCGTGGTTGGTTTTACCTATAGAGGTTCTACATGGTCTGACTTATGCAGTTTTCTATGCATCAATGACAGGATACGCCTCTGAAAATGCTCCATCTGGCACTGAAGCTACCATGTTAGGAATTCTAGGAGGATTATTTGAAGGTTTAGGTAAGCTTTTATTTATTATTTTTAATTATGCTTACTCAAAGCGGATCTTGAACACTAAGGATGTAATAATGAAGGTCAATACTCGGATTAATATATTATTTAGGATAAAAAAAGCGGAACGACGATTTTCCGATTTCAAAATTTTTATGTAATAAAGCGTATTTTTAATTTTTAATGTTGCTTTTAATTTTATTCTGTACTATAATTTTAATTGCATATGTAAAAGAGATTTTCAAATCTTGAAATAATTTGATTAAATGTTAAGATTAACTCCAGTCAAATACGAACAACAATAATTTTCTATCTTCTTTTGTCATGAAAAAATTAGAATTCTTGAAAGTGGTAGGTATAGAGAGAGAACATCATGAACAGTCATGCTGCGAAAGTAAAAGCCAGCCTATTCTAAAGCCAATTGCCTAATCTATTCCTCGTTTATGCAACGTATGAACATACAAACGTGTAAATTTGAATAATCTTTTTACGAGACGGCACTGGGAAGAGTGATACTTAGGTTATTCTTAGCCTTGCAGCCACTTTATTTATATAACCTAAGTATAGGTATTTCTTTCTCCTGATGAGGAGGGACCTTGAAATCGATTGAGTGTTTCATTATACCTACGCCAAATACAAGATTGTTTTTACGATTTTGATTAACCTAAGTATACCTTGAGAAATCCTTGATCAAAACTGAGGGAATAATATACCCTGCTTGAATTATGTATTTTGAAATCTGGTATTCCCTTTAGTATTAGGAGGTATAAATAAAATAGTTTAATAGATGATACCCGTACATGACTTAGCCAAAATATGTGGGCTTGGTTAGAAAATATAATTATTTTTCAGAAGCAATCTTATGCATTTACTTTACATATATAAATAATGTATAAACCTTTCTGAATAAAGTTTTTCATTTTATTTTAAAAAGACTTTTGTATTCTATTACTTGCAGAAATTTAGCTTCTTTATAGAGTTTTGAGTCATTAAATAAAATATACATATACTTTAAAGTTATTTTTAAATATAATAAAGTTGTAACCATATAAGAATTATTATGGAATCCCTTTATTAGGAGAGCTTTCAGGAAGAACTTTATAAAATTGGTCTCATGCTTACGTTATTTTTGAAGAAACGAATGGAAAACCATTTATCAAATAACTAGACCTGTCGATCAAAAACAAATCAGAGAAAAATTACAAATAACAGGGAGAAGTCCTTTTCCGTTCTACCGATGAAAACCTTCTATGAAAGAAATTTTTTATGGATTAGTGGCAATGAACGAAAACAGTTTGAAAATTTTTTTGTTATTATACAATTTGTGGTGTTAGGTTCAGTAGAACTGCTGATCTAGCTGTACGTTGTGGTTTAAAATGACAATCTGTAAGGCATTTTCTCCTTCCTTACAGCTTTATTTCGAGGTCGCATTGGAAAGCCCGTGCGGCTACTAGTAACCGATGTTACAGTTCCAGCGAGGGTAATGCGTGTTAATGAAAACTTTAATGACTCTAAAAACCAACTGGACAGCATTTTAAGTCAGAGCCAGATTTAGAGTTGATAAGGCTCCAAGCTATTTGAGATATGGGGCTTTTATAAGTCTGTTATAATATATTTTAATACTATTTATACTATATTTTAATTTTGGGGGGCCTTAAGTTATAGTTTCTATAGCTTATACGTAAACCCGGCCCTATTTTAAGTAATAACGATTAAACACTAAAACCATCTAGTAAACATTCAGCATATTTTAGGAAATCTAATGCAATATTTTTAATGTTGTATATTTTGATTTCAGGACTTGCATCAGGCAGTTTTCTGGGTGGAATTGGATTCGACAAATTAGGAGGACGTAAAACATTTCTCTCAGCTTCCATCATCAGTTTAATTTGTGCACCGTCATTTGCCATTTCATACCTTATTATAAAACTGTTAGGTCAAAGACAGAGCTGAAATATGTTTCAAAAGGTCAACTTCTATCTCAAGTGGATTCTTTCTCACCGTTATTGTGATGATTCATGCATTGAACATTTTGAAAGTGTTTGTAACTACTTTAAGAAACTTTGAAAAATTGACGCTTTTAAATTAACGGGATTTTCTTATTAAATAATATTTTTGTAAATTTTATGTAATTAAGATTTGCTTGTCATAACAAAAGAGGCTAAAAAAGCCTGAAATAAAAATTTGCTACGATATTAGGAATATCTTTAAAGATTTGAACATCTTTAAACACATAAAAGTAAATAAAAGCGAAAGATACACATGTACTTAAAGTTCAATATTATATTCTTATTTTGAATGAATTAGAATTTCAGCGCGTGTAAATGAACAAGATGTTCTTTTCTACGAATAAAAGTAAGCACTACTGCGATAAGCAACAGTGGGATGGAATCATATGGAATCATCAGATGGAAGAATAAAAACTGGTGAAATATTCTAAACTGGTTTGTTAACCTATGAAGTGAAAGGAAGATTTTTGAAGACTTTTGTAGTGAGACGAATTTTTCTAAGCTAAAACACTGAGATTTCGAATACTGCTTTCTTTCATGAAATAGATATTATCAGTCAGTGACTTTTCTATTAAAACTGCTCTTTTTGCTGATGATTTGGTGATTTGATAGACTGAATTCACAAATCCGTGAACAAAGTTTAAATACTAAGTAAATAACACATTGAAAAATTTGGATCACTGGTGTTGTTCAAATAATTTTATTTTAAATCTAGACAAGGCATGTTGTCAGCGTTTTACGTTAAACAGACAGGTTTTCATCTTTATCTCTAATAATCCATGGATGTAGCATCTCTTCAGTGGCAAGTCCACCTATTGTGGTCGAATTAGGAACTCTTGTAAATGAAGGAATAAGCAAGCAGCTCTTTGTAGGAGGAAGATGGGATAAAAATTGCTATTTTTGAAACGGTTGGTTAATTGCAAACGAAGCAGTAATAGACACACTGTAATTAATATGTATAAAGTGTATATTAAGTCTCTCTTAAACTACTGTAATGAAATTCTAATAATGACTTCTGTGGAAACCATCAATAAATTGGAAAATTTGCGAAACCAAGCTCTTCACCAGATTACAGGAGTAGTTAAGATTACTCCTATTTCTGACACGCAACTGTTGAGTAACCTTGTAAGGATTATGTTAATTTTATTAACAGTAAAATTGAGTTAAATTTCCTTTCCTATCCATTCTTAACTTCAATTTACCACTTCCGGCCAGAACATAGTTTTAGAATGACGTCTGAATACCTAATGAGGAAGAGTGGTATTGAACCGCGAAGTTCTTCTGTCTTACCGAGAGAGATGCCATGTATTCTGGTTGCACGCGTCCGCCTTTTTAGGCCACTCTCTCGTAAGCTATTATTACGCTCGGCCATACTTTTGACCCTTGATAGCTTCGTAGTCTATTAACGTTAAGGGGCCAACTCTGTTAGAATTTTGATAGCTTCGGCTATATCTCTTTAGTTAAGATTAGTTTAGTTTAGTACTTAGTCTCTTAAGTTCAAGCCCAAGTGTCGGCTTTATTGTACAACTCCAAGACGGAGTTCTGTCAAATCTTATTTTGAATAATAAAGGCTTATTTTGCCTTTCCATCTTGTTGTTTTCTGTCACACGAACTCAAGCGATTATTCGCTTACTAGTTCTTAAGATTCTTCACTTTCAACAGTAACTTAGAATTACCCAGTGAGGAACTCTACAACCTAACCTCAGATGAACATGAGATTTGAAAATGCTGTGATTTGCCATAAAAACTTTGGAGACAATTAGAGAAACTATAATTTGAAAAATTCTAGAAATTCAAAGAACCGCTAGGATGTAGCCACATCAACTAGGTTATTACAAATGATCTTAGAGCTGCTCCAGAATATAACTTTTTAATTGGACCATTGGGCCATGGTGCTCCCTAAATTTCAATAATGTTCAAATGAATCTTGACCTTGCTTAAAAGTTAGCAAGGAAGAAATGCGTGGCTGCGCAATCCGTTCAGTTGCAGTTAAAAAAAAAAGAAAGAGAGAAAAGAAAAGAAAAAACACTGGAAGCCGTTTTCCAGAGAATCAGTGGTTTCTCGTGTATACAAACTGTTCACTGAATCACATGAGTATGCACGTTGAAGCTGGTGTACGCAGCAAACTTTTTTTTTTCCTTTTAAAAATCAATCGCTGAACCCCAATGCTTTTGATACTGAATTGAAAGTAATATATATATAGCTTTGCCCTAAGATCATTTTTTCAAAACCACCATATTCTCGGGGTCTAGAAAATTCTGCCTTTCAGGTTCTTACCAGCAACAGAACTTACAGCTCAAAACGTGTTTATATTTTGAATATTGATATATTTTGAATGTTCTTAACAACTCAATAGCGTTGCAATGGTTGCTGACTCATTGTGAAGTAGAGAGAAATGGAGTGTAGATTTCCTGACAAAAAAAGAAACTTTTTTCCCAAACTCGAAAATTATAAAATTTTTATACTTACCTCTAATAAGTAAGAATTTGGGAAAAACGGAAATTTAAAAGATCCATGACCACATCTGTGCGTAAAAGCTACGGCAAAGTCTTGGAAATAGTCTGCGGGACAAGAGATATAATACCCCATTAGTCTCCTCGTGCTACGTGTATGGCATCTTTCGTTTTCAGATTGAGCATGATTACCTTATAAGGTATTTCTCCCACCTTCTTGACGTGCCTTCGTGATGTGGTGGTCTGCACACTGGGCCGGTATTCCAGAGGTCCACGGTTCGATTCTCGGCTAAGGCGTTGCTAATTTTTCATCTCTCCTGCTTCCAAAATACCTAATGTCTCTACAGTGGCACCCGAACTAAAAGGGTAGTGGTTTCTCCCACAAGGATTTGGCGATTGGGTTCCCTAAAAACTCCAGTCGCTCTTTAAAAGGAGGAGTATATAAGGTATTTCTCCTATCTTCTTGACGTGCCTTCGTGGCTTGGTGGTCTGCACACTGGGCCGGTATTCCAGAGGTCCGCGGTTCGATTCTCGGCGAAGACGTTGCTAATTTTTCACCTCTCCTGCTTCCAAAATACCTAATGTCTCTACAACCTTTAATGTTTAACTCGTTTACATTAGACTCCGGAAGTCTCCAGCATGTTCGCTTTGTGATTGTGGATAATCCATAAGCAAAGAACATTCAGCAAGTGCCTGCACTTAATAATTTTATTTCTGTAGCCCAGCAAGACGGCTAACGTCCTATGTGCCGAAAACCAGGCTTTTTTAAATAAATAATAAATCTGTATTGAAATTATAATGAACAGCTAAAACTTACACGTGGAACATTTCGAAATAACAATAACTTATTAGTCGAAGAACTAAGAGAATAATTCTAACAGAAAAAGTATTGGATTGGCAAGAATGTAATTTCGATTTGTACATATAGACAGAGTTTGTTCGCTTTGTTAATCTTATAACTTTTTTCTTTTGAGATTTGGTAGCTGATACTTTTATGTTTTTATAGAAACCCATTCCGTGTATTTATGTTTAAAACTGTTAATTTCCGGACAGTTTTAACATGGGGTGCAAATATAAACATTTTCGAAAGATTTTACTTTTTTATTTTCTGAGAAACAAGAATGCGGCTGAAACTCACAAAGAGATACATGAAGTTTATGCTGTTGATTGCTTAACAGGTTGCCTGTGTCAGAACTGGTTAAAAAAATTTCATTCTGGAGATATTTCACTTGAAGGTAACCAATGTTCTGGCCGACCTTCTGAAGTTCGTGATGACAAAATTAAAGCCATAATTGACGCGAATCTTCATATAACTGTGTGAGAGATTTCAAAAATGTTTAATATATTGCACACAACAATTGAAAATCACATAAGATGTCTTGGTCTCGTTAAAAAGCTCATTATTTGAGTCCCGCGTGAATTGAAAGACATTCACTTAACGTGACGAAATCAATATTTGCGATACGTATTTCAAACGGAAAGAAATCGACCCTTTTTGTAACGAATTACCACTGGGCCACAAACTTATGAAATCGGAGGAGAGAGAGAAGAGGCCAGAATTGGCAAATCTGAAAGAAATCGTGTTCCACCACGACAATGGGAAGCCTCACACTTCTTTAGCAAAATGTACGAAATTATTGGAGTTTGACCACGAAGTGATGTCGCATCCCTCATATAGCCCCGACATTGCATCATCGGATTATCATGTATTTCGAAGTTTACAAAACATTTTAAACGGTAAAAATTTCAGTAATAACAATGACCTCATATCGCACCTGTTTGTGTTTTTGATGCTGATAAAGACCAGAAGTTCTATGAGCGCGGAATCATGAAGTTACTAGAAAGATGGAAAAAGGCTTTCAAACAGCACGGAAGATATTTGACTGATTAAATTTCTTTTTTTGTATAGAAAAATTTTGTTTTATTTCACACTAAAAACAGAATTTACTTTCTTACCAATCCGACTTTATTATTTTTTTAGAGAAATTTCAGAATCTTCTTGTTATAACCAATAAACAAAACATTACAGTTAACAGTCATGCTGTAATTACTTAAGAAGTTTATCTGTTACGTAAGACATTTTAGAACTAAAGAAAAGATTTTATAAATGGAATAGAAAAAAATTTCGCACACTTTATTGCAAAAGAAAGAAGGGAATTACAGCATGAAATATTGAGAAACATGTCATCTGTTACAGAGAGAAACAAATATATTAAAATAAATTAATAGCGGAACACGAGAAAAAAATCTGTATCCTCCACAGCTTTTAAATAATTAAGTTTTCAGTAAGAACGCTGTGTTGGAATTCAAAGATTAAGACGTTAATTAATGTGATAGTTTCTTATTAACATGCTGTTCATTTATTACTGTAAATAAGATATTCTCAATTTTAGGCTTAGTACTAATGACATTCATGAAACAAATATTTTTACAAAAATGACAATCCATTTTCCGTCATTCTTCCTGACGTGTGAGAGGAGCATGAAAGATATAAATCAAAATATCTCTAGAATAGTCCTTTGCTCCTTGAAATTTGTTTTCATGATAGACAAGTAGGTTAAAACACTGTACAAAATTCAATTATGAACCAGATTAGCAGTACTTTCCTTATTTTGTTATTATAATCTACATGAATATTTAGTTCCAAGAAATATTAAAGAAATTAAATGCACTGTGTTTTTAACTATTTTTCATTAACTTTGAACAATGGTAATTAGTAATTTATATACTGCAAGTGGGATATCATTATTGTGATATACACATCTTTCAAAAATATTGAGAGTGGCTTCATTGTTTGAACTGCTGATGCTAATTGATTCTTGTAGTTTCTAGTGTATATAAATTGTGTTTAAAGATTATTTTAACCAATATAAAAATTTGACTTAAAAAATCTGAAGATATTAAATCTGTAAGACTTCTTTTTTACCATATATCTTCGTGGTGTAATTGGAAAGTATATCTTGCTGCCAGTCGGAAAATCCAGAGTTTGAATCCTAGAGAGGTCATCTCTAAAGTTTCCTGCATCGAAGTAAACGTGATGACCATAAACTGTGGCGCCCGAATTAAACGGGTTTGGCCAATAATTCGTCACCGGAAGTATTTGGCGACTGAGTTCCCTCCTTACTAGTCGCCCTTTAAATGAAGGATATTGTGATAGAGTCGGTGTATTCTTTTTGGAAGCATACAACGTGGACTCTACGTGGAAGTCGAAGTAGCGAGTGCTCGCTATGTCCTGAAGAATAAATACTGCTAAAGAATAACCTTTAAATAACCTTTTTATTTAAACTGAATTAAAACAAATTCGCGCACTTAGTGCTCGCAATTCACCATCACTTGTGGCTAACTAAATTAACAGATAATAAAAATGTCAAATGCACATTAAATTAAGATGGCTAGCGACTGGCTCCTTAGCTTAACCGAATGCTAAATCAGCTTCACACAGCAAAGCCGAGCCTAGAAATATCAGTATAAACTGAAAGGTGTCAACACCGACTAGAGAGATAAATTCAAACACGCAACATAAACTCGAAACTAACTCCGCTACTCTCTTTTCGAACTCTTGAAACGCAGCTTAAATACTTCTTCTGAAACAAACATGTTTTAGAATAGCATACTACGTCTTTTAAAATTTACATTCCGGTAGGAAACTGAAATCAGAAAAGAAAGTAAAACTAAAAATAATTGGTTAGAATAAAAATAAAGTCTTTACACTGTGAGGTTCCGCCGCTTATAATATAATTGGAAAGCATGTGCGGCTGGCAGTTAAAAGGTCCAGAGTTTCGATCCCGGCGACAGTTTTTGTGAAGCTCCCGTTTCCTTCTCGAAATAAAGATAACTACAAATCTTTTTTAGAGAGAGTTCAAGTTTCCTATTTTTAAAAGTTAATTTTTCCTCTTTTTATTACGTACATATGAACCATTCTGTCCTAACATAATTATTTATGCAACATGCGATAGTTCTAGCAACGGTTTAAGAAGAAATATGGGAAGCTTTTTTAAAATAACCTGCGCATACGCAAATCTGAGATTAACATACGTATCCAAAATTTGTAAAATGATATTTTTTCTTTATGCAATTAATTTAACAAATAAAATATAGGGAATTTTTTGGGGGACTGTTGAAAATAAAAAACGGCATTCTTAAAATAAAACAGAAGGGACTTAGATTAACGCAGATTTTGAATGAAACTTTACAGATTCCGAGGACAATTACACATAGTCTGTCTTTTGCTCTTGAAATTGGTGCAAAAGGTTTTTGCTAATGTTTCTGAACCTATTAACCTGAACCTGAAATAGAGCCCTCTTATTTCAGTTTACTCGCAGCCGACATTTCTTCCTCTTGTAGCTTCGCTTTCTGTAATACTGCTGAGGACTTTGTGGCAGCAGCTCTTGGATTCTACAAGAATACATCTTCGGCTGACGAAAAATGGATTAAGAACAGTTTTCTAGATATTCCTAACTGAGACGGTCAACGACGAGTTGAATGAATCAGATCATTTTTAACACTTGGGTGCAGCACATCCTTTTTGCTACGAATGTTTATGTGGTGTCAATCATTTCTGACGAATACTGATCCTCTAACTTGGATGTTCTCCACTGCATGATATTCTCTAGTGAAAACAATTGTTTGTTTGCTCATTGCTCACATAATATAATCATAACCTGCTCTTGAATGCTCTACGTTGATTTTATAAATTCCCAACAGTCCTCCAAAATCTGAAATCAAAAGAAACATGAAGTATGTTAATACCAAAAAAATTACAGAATTTTAAAGTTGTTTTTCAATTTTAGGCCACCTTATATTGGCAAATTACATCTTAATTCCTATGCATCTTTTTCATTCTAACTGAAATATTCTAGATTTGTATGAATATGATTCATAGTATAAGAATCGAAAAATACTTATTAACAGTTAAAATAACTGAAAGTTCGAATATCTATCTCGAAAAAGAAACATGAAAGTAAACGTTTTTGAGGGCGTTCGCTGTTGTGTTACATGAATATAAAATTCAATATTATTGTCAGAAAAAAAATGAAATTTTCAGGACATCTACTACAGATATTGTTCAAAATAAACACCATCATTTGCAATACAGATCTGAATACAGCAGGAAATTTTCTTTGACCAAGACATAGAAGTGATACCTGTTTAAGTTTTAGCGTGTACTTAAAAGTTACATCACCCAAATTCAAATCCATATCCCTGCCTGGGCTCACAAGACGCCAGACAAAAAAATCCAAAATTCTGCGGACACCGAAAGAAAGCGGTGCTTAGGGCTCCAAATTACTTTAATCAGTTTATATTATAAGGTATTTTTCTCACTTTCCTAGCGTGCCTTCGTGGTGTAGTGGTTCTGCACGCTGGGCCAGTATCCAGAGGTCCGTGGTTCGATTCCCGGCGAAGGCGGTTGTTAATTTTTCATATCTCTGGCTTCCAAAAATTCCTAATGTCTCTACAATATATCAACTTTTTCTTTTAGATAATATTAAACGAAGAATTATAAAGAATCCAACGAAAAATTGTAAGCCTTTGCTGAAAACTTCCGTTTCTCAAAGTCATGCTTCTGAAAGAAGTGTTAAAAAAAACTCATGGATTCCAGGTTTGGGAAGAGAGTCGTCTTATTACTGGTATATGCAATCAAAATCTACCTGCGGAACATCATCAAAGAAGTAAAATACTAAGCAAGAAGAATTATATATTAGAAGTGCCATCGCAGAGAATGAGTTTACTTAAAGTTATCTTCCGTAAGTCTTATTTCACAATTAAACGATTAACAAAACGGATATTCTAATATATCATATTTACAATGATGCAGCGCTGGAGGAAGGGGGACTTCAAAATATGGACAGTAATTTCAAAAAGGGTTGGGAAACTATGCTAGAGGTGAAAATTGTATATTTTGTAAATCTCAGAACATAAATCCCAAAGTCGCAAGAAAGCATTAGAAAGTAGTGTGAAAATGGTGATGATTTTATTTGCTTAGGAAAAATCACTTAATTTGAACATTTCACTTGTTTTTCACTTTGAAAGTTTTACTTTTGATTTGAAATATTAATTCAAAAGTAAAACGTTCAAACTGCACACATAAACTTTGCAAATGTTTTAAAAGACTCATCTTTAAAGCGATCTAATATTCCTTTAACGAAAACTAAAACGAAAGCTTTGTTGCATGGAAAACGTACATTGTACGTTAGTGCACAATGAAGGTTTTCTATGGATGCTGCTGGAGCAGATGCTATGATTAATCGAAATACCTATATATATAGACTGTGACGTCTATATGACGAAAATCGAAATGTAGTAAATTTTATTTGGTCAAGCAAAGAATTAAGAAGTGATTACGAACTGAAACTCTATCAGATCACCAGAGTTATCTTTGTGCATTGTCTAATCCCTTCAAATCTGGTTCGCTGCAACCATCAAAATGCATGTGGAGAAATAGAAAATATCTAAAAGCCTTTTTATTTCTTAGATAAATATTTGTATGTCGATGATTTATTCACAAGGCAGATGAAGAAGTTATAGAAGAGACAACATATACCACGGGTACAAGCTGAAGCAAGGCCGGCGCCTGTGCATTTCCATAGGTATATAATAGCTATTCCAGAGCCTTGCTGACTTTAAAACTTCTGCCCCAGTTTTAAAAGATAACACTACGGTAAGCGGTCCGAAGGCCTAGCACTCGTCTTCTCCTCTCGAGAAAACTTTCGGCTAACTGTGTATTTTGAATGCCCCCTTGCTGCACAAGCACTATACGCGTACTCATTCTTGCTTTCTCCGGGATTCGACCCCAGACTTCTTCCATCTTCTAAACCTTCTTAAGCGTCATTAACTACTATACCGGTGGGTGGCAGCATATACATCAGGAGATCTGTGACACTTAGCCAAATGGACGATTAGTCGACGTGGACATTTAACCGACAATGATAATAAAAAAACGTGAGATAAGGTTTTAGTAAAATATGCACATATTTCTCTTACAAAATGCTATTTCCAGACTACACAACGAGTAGGTTTATGTACAAATATCACGTTTTCATTTTATTTAATGCTAAAAGGACTTTAAAGTTTAAAACTAGATAGAAAGGCAAGAGTAGTCAGACATATGTTTCTCTATTTCAGAAAGGGATAGAAAATTTCAACATTCTGAAGAGCAAAACGATTTTATATAGAGAGAAATGAGAGGAGCAGTGCGAAAACAAATATAACGTGATCTGTTGAGGCAAATAGAAATTAAACGTGAAAAAAAATTAAGATATAAAAAATTTGGAAGCGTTGAAAAATTAATGTCATTAGCTAAAGAAGAAAAAATATTTGTTAACGTGGAAGGGTTCAAAGGAAACCAATTTACTAATTGAAGAAACTTTACGGAAAATTTTTATAGATCGAAAGTCAAAATTATGGTCAAATATTCAATTATGATTAGTTATCAAAAATTTCTTTATTTCCCTTTTCAAACAAACGATTCATGTTCCCTGACGAGAAATTTCAGTGCTCTTTCAGCTTTGCTGATGTAACTCAAATCACATTGCCATGACATGCTAAAATGGCACAGAATTAAAATCAAAGATGGGATCTTTAAGAATTGAACAACGAAATTTACTGGTAAATGAGAAAAAGATTTCAAAGTTGAACTTACAGACAATGCGAGCAGTTTTGTAGCTAATAGAAAGATTAAAGATTAAAGAGAAAAATTAAGGAAACGATTAAAGAGTATTATGAAGATAGAGAAATTAAAGAGTATTATGACGATTACTTTTTAGTGCGAAATGTGCTTTATGATGCAAGAGGTACTTCTTAGTTGGTTATTAAATTTTGTAGACAAACAAATACATACAAGTTTATTGTTGGAGAAAACGAATTCAACATCAATAAGTATTTAACACAAGGGTGGAAAAGTTAGACTTGAATAGATATGTGACAAGAAATGTTTTTAAATAATAAAAAATTTACACTTGTAAAAATGAAAAAGAAAAAAAAATTTTTTTAAATTAATTCGAAGTAAAATGTAGAAAAAATAAATAAATAACAAAAATAAATAAAATAAATAAATAACAAAGCATACACATTTCTTGTGAAAACAGAAAATTATGAAAATAATATTACTTTTGTTAAGTAATAAAGTGAAAATATAAAAATAACTTTTTTTTAAATAAAAAGAAAAAATTAATAAATAAAACTTATCAAAATAAATATTATTCTTGTAAAATAAAAAAAAAACTAAACGTAAAGAATTTTTTTTAATCAAAAAGAGAAGAAAAAACTTGTTTAAAATAAAAAGGGAAAAGGGGAAAAAATGGAAAAAAAAAGTTTATGAAAAGTGAAAATATAAATTAAACTGAATTTGTTAAATTAAGAAAAGTGAAAAAGAAAAATTAAACGGGGGGGGGGATTTAAATTAGAATAGTTAAAAAAAAAATTTTGATATTAACTTTTGTAAAAAAGGGAAAAGAAATGTAAGTAATAAAGTTACTTTTGTAAAAATTAAAAATATAATTTTACAATTAAAACAATAGTAAATAAATTTAAAGTTCTTTCGCCGTTGCGGAAGCGGATAGGCGTGAACGGCAGAACAAGTTGGAACAGGCATACACATTTCTTCAGAATAATTATATCATTGTGATTTTCGATGCTCGACGAGACCGAAAGCTAGGAACTGAGGTGAAACTCCGTGGATTTGTGGTAAAGTGCGAGTCTCTTATGCGAGAAGTTGTGGATTCAAATCCCAGCTGTGGGGTAGTTTTTAAAACTCGTGCAATGACCTAAAATCCAGTCATTTAAATTAAATAATAGAATCAATTCAATATAAATGATTATTAAATAAATGAATTAATTAGAAATAAAGTTGCCTATTAAATAGTAATTTAAATAATTATCTCGATTAAAAAAATATCAGATTAAATGATAAAAAATAATAAAGTAAAATTAAAAAATAAAGTCATTACCAAACATGTGACTCAAGAGGTCATTGCCACAAAACCGAAAAAATACAGTTGTTATTCCAAAATAAAAAAAAACTTTGAAAAAATATTATCGTTGCCACAAGATAAAAACAAAACTTTGAAAAATGTTGTTGTTGCTACAAAATAGAAAACTATCATGTATGACATTTAATCTTTCTACGTCCCATCCGGATAGATCCAAAATGGCGGCAGTGACGTCATTTCCGGTTAACCTGTGATCCCAAAATGGCCGTGGTTGTATCATTTCCACGTGTCAAAGATCTATTTTGTGGCACTCGATCCAAGATGGAGGCAGCGGCACATCATAGGCGCAGCCATGCTGTTCTCTTCTTGCGTCAGCTATTACATAATGACTGCCGAGGCGATATCCTTTGACCGCAGACTCCCATACTCCGAGATATTGATATAGTCTACGTGGATCGACGGAGCCACATTCGCCTGGAAGTTATGCCTTAGCCTTGTTTTGGTTTGGTATATTTGATTTTGGCAAAGCACGCTAGAGCTATCTGCTTAAGAGCAGGGATGTCTTCGTGCAGGACTTTCAAAGGGAAACTGGCCCGTATACACGTTACACATGGGGAAATCCACGAAAACGCCCATGTAGCTAGAACGTTCGCCTACAATCTAGCCTTAGCATTGGAGTGTCTCTTATTTTACACACCATTCAGATTGCAATGCAACGTGCTAGAGCTCCAGCTAATCACTCATTTGCCGTCAAATGTTAATCCTTTGCATAGTTATCGTAACATATG